CTGCTAGTCCACGAGTGGTTTTGAATTATGGAGGCCGACAGGTGGGAAAACCCACCTGCGCATTAAAAGCCGGCATCTCGATGCAGCGTGAGCTTTCGCACACAGCCTTTTCTATGTTTTTGTTTTGTTTATTTGATTTGTTTTCCAGCCCCTCGGCTCATTGTCCAAATCATCTCTTCCCATTCTCATAACGCTGTTATTACCAGAACTAGTTTCCAGTCAAGAAAAAGCTGATCCTCTCCCATGCAGCTCTCATCATCTCTCTGTGTTGCTATACTGTATTGGATCTGCTTCTTAAACTGTGGTTCGAGACCTAAAGTTGACACTTGGCCTCGAGCTGTATTAAAGAAACTCCCCACTTGTGGTCTCTCAAGTGTAAAACGGGATTAGTTGAGTCTTGAAATCACAACTAAAACCATCCAAAATAAGCAGATAAAAATAACTCAGAGTTAGTCAGTTTCTACAATCCAGCTCGGGGTTTTTCTGGGGCCTTTGCACTGAGACAACTTGCTTGTTTCACTGCACCGGGGTCCTCGGATCGGGCTTCATGTGAAAGCGCGAGTTTAGGTCCTGGTTAAATCAGCACAAGAAGCGCCGTTGCACTGTAATATTATCTGTTCTGACTCTAGTTGTAAGTTATTCTGTAACAGAAGCACTGCAGCTAGCAGCAGCTGGCACGTGATACTGCTGTTACATGATTACAATACACCATCGGCACCACCCGCCTCCTCGATCAGGTAAATGTATCGATGTCTCCCTCGCTTTTAATGCTTACAGCTTATCAGATGAGATTTCCAAGATTGCCTTTTTCTTTCGAGTCTCAGTAAAATACGTTTAAAAAAAAATGTTTTCGCAACATCATCAGTTGCTGTAAATCTGCATCCGACTAAGTAAATATTCCCAGTGTGTCCCCACCTGCGTCATATCGCCTCATCAGAGATGCATGCTGTAACTGGATGCTTTTTCAGCTTCACAGAAGACATCTTTAGTTGTGAAAATTCATCATTTGAGCTTTCAGCCTCCTTTTTTTTTAGTTTTTCCTGCTTCTTGACCTGCAACCACGGCTGCCACACAATTCTCATTTTTACTGAGCTTTCAGATTTTCGTAGTGCACCCGTTTCCCTCTTTGCTTTTAGTTTCTGACGACAAATCTGACACTACTAGGCCTGTTTAAAAACAACTAAGTCCATCCTCCATTGCACTTCTTGCATATCTTGTGGATTTAAGGTGGAACAGCATCAACAGAGGTCACCGTTTGATCGTATAGCTGCTTGAAAACGACACGTGAATGGAT